ACAGCAACTGTTACGAGGAGGGTGATGGTATTCTATCGAAGTCTCATTTTATCATCAGGTGTTGCTGATTTGGATTTCTTAGAATTTGCTATGGTCTATGTCCCAGCAGCCATTTTTTCTCTTCATTTGTTGAGCTCTAGTGAGGCGTTATTTGAGATTTACTTATTTATTTTTTTAATTTAAAAATCCAAAATTATACTTCTTTATTTCGAATTTTCAAATTGTAAAAAGTAATTATTTGGTGTATGTGCTAAAAAGCAATTCTAGTGTACTAACAAGACCAGGAATTGTTTTTTGATCAAAACACCTTACAATTTTTTGAGGCTTTCCTCCCAGTGATTGACTTTTAATTAATTTTATTTATAGTTTATAAGAAGAGAGTTTTAATTATATTATTTATAGATTTGTACAAATTTCAATTAAAAATTTGAATCATATTTTTTCTAAAAAGATTCATTTATTAAAAGTTAAAATAATACTATTTTCTTTAAAAAATTTTATAAAACACAAAAATTGAATGCTATTCTATGACCACGCGGCACCTACATATAAAAATATCTTAAGTTGCATTTGTTGCCCCACTCTCTTATATTTTAGAAGCAATAATAGCGCTGACATGATTGCTCCCTTGTGGTATTAATAAGGAACTAAAATCATGATCAACTTCTATTGTTTTGTGTCCAACCTTTGCTGAAGCTAAAAAGTAACAGTGAAAGATCGTTCTATATGCATTTATATTCTTTGGTATTACATAAATCATTGCCCATTTTTCTTATTTATTGTATGATTTTATATTTATAGTGTTTTATGTATCATCAGGTGGGACACTAAATAAATAAAAAAATTAATATATACTCATTTTTATAGTACATCCACTAATAATTTTCCAACATAAATATGCCTCACTCTGATTTCAAAGAGACCGCCTTTCAAATCAAGGTTGTCAGATATATTTCCTAAAATTCCTAAGGTTATATTTAAAAAATATTCTCTATTCTCTATTCGTTATTATTCAATTGCTAGTCAACGAACGACACTCTTAAAAAATAATATGAACATATTCTCAAAAAATATATCTATATAAATTAATTAACTAGGTACTAATATTTCCATGGACTCTTCACTAATGAATTAAAGCAACTGTGAACTTTGTATATATAACTTATACTCTAAGTAATTTTCGAATATCGGCAACATTGTAGTCTGGACAGAATTTCGAGGTGATTTCGATGTTCGGTCTATATCGACGTTGCCATGTTGGTGAATTTAGCGGTAATACTCTTATAGATATAATGATCGACTTTTAAGAAATCAGACAACTTTTAAGAATCCAAGTTCTGAAAAACGGTTTCAAGAATTGTATTATTTTTTTCCAAATTTTATTGATTTTATACCTTACCTGGAAACATGAAAAATTGCAGATATATTAATTATGGTATTAAAGTTACATTCAATAATTTTAAACTTGGCAACAGCGAAGCGCATCGCAATAAATCTTGATGGAACACCTGTTTGTCTGGCTATATGACACCCTAAATAGTTCATTTTGCAAGCAGCTATCAGAGGCGGATAATAAGGTAAGTAATATTATATTTTTCTAGGATGGCATTTTGGAGACCATTTGATACGAATGATCAAGATGCATCAACTTCTGTGTTATCAATAGATAATGACAATTATGTTAATGACAGCCCCGAATTAAAAAATAAAGATTTGCACGTACAATCCCAAAGAATAGTTTTAAATATGTATGAGTGTTTGAAAAAAGAAAATATTTTGATGGCTGATAATGCAATTGTTTCGAGAATTCATGTATTAACAAAAATCGGGTATAAGACGATATATACAATTATTAAATTAGGCATTGTTACAGATCATTCCTTAAAACGAAAGCGACCAAATAAAAAATTGGGTAGGATTGACACTGCTGCAAAAGACGTTATTCAGCGAACAGTTTACAATTTTTACAAAGAAAATAGAGTGCCTACTTTAGAACTGATTCGTGAAAAATTGAGAGATTTCCCTGAATATAATTATACATCTTTGGAAACACTGCGCGAGATTTTGATAAGTTGTGGATTTAAATATAAGAAATTAGATAATCGAATGGTAATAATGGAATCTCGGCGTATTGTTGAACTTCGACGAGAGTATTTGAGTAAAATAAAACAGTATCGTAATTCAAACAGAAACATAATCTATTTAGATGAAACCTGGTTCGATACGCATGATGTTGTCAAGTACGGCTGGGTTGACAACACAAACAAGTGTGCATTAAATACACCCTGTTCACGAGGAAAACGTGTTATTATTCTTCATGCCGGAAGCAAAGATGGTTTTGTATCTAATGCATTGCTATTGTCGGCCAAAAATATAACAAAGTCTTCTGCCGATTATCACGAAGATATGACAGCCGATTTATTTGAAAAGTGGTTTGTTGAACAACTCTTGCCCAATATTCCGCCGAATTCAGTGATTGTTATGGATAATGCGTCGTATCATTCCCGCATATTAAATAAAATACCTAATAATAACACGAAAAAGGACGAAATTTTAAAATTTATGGAACTTAAAAATATCACTGTTCCTAAAAAGATTCCAGTAAAAAAAGAATTAATTAGAATGATCAAAAGTCGGAATTTCAAAAACGAATACGTTATTGACACCATTTGCAGCAGGCACGGCCATACTCTTTTGCGATTACCTCCATACTATTGCATTTTTAATCCAATTGAAATGGTTTGGGGTACCGTAAAAAAACGATTGCGAAAATATAATCAGTCACCAACATTAAGCGCAGTGGCCATTGAGAATATTCGAGAAGTAATTAGTGGCATTAATAGCGATGTGTGGAAAAGTTGCGAAGCTCATGTTGTAAAAATAGAAAATGAATATCCTGTTTTACCGGCAATAGCACCAATAGTTATACAACCTGGGAACGATTCGACTTCAGAAGACTCTGACGATTCTTTTTAGTCCTTCTAATTAATTTCTTTACAGCTATCGCGATGCATCTTGAACACTAGTATTCATTATTATACAGTGTGTCGCATTTAAGATGAAGACACCTCTATATATCAGCTATCAAAATACATACAGATTAGAAATTTTGCAGTCATACATGTTGATAGTGCACATATTTTTAAGATAGTTAGTTATCTGAAATTTAAATTTTAAACGCGGCTTACTGCGAATCCACAAACAGGGTAAATTTTCGATATTTTGCTTCGCGTTAGAGAAATCGGAAAAACTTATTTGGAAAAGTTATTCCACTTATTGTAACCGCACATTCCAAAATTCATGACAAAATTCGCAATTTTAGTTTTTCAGTATTATTTGTAATCTCGATCCTAAATCTACAATTGGCTGTCTAAAGATGCATCTCGGGACAGCCAACTGTCCGTTTTAGAATCCTGACTACAATTGAAGAGCTTATTTCCAAAGTGTCTTAAATCCATATAATGAAATCCATGAAATTACAGATTTTCATACAAATTTAACATACAAATTATACAATTTTACAATTTTCATATGCACTTTTAAATGGCAAATAAGAAGTTGTTTTGGTACATATAACTTTATTTTAGACTTGAAGAAATCTATAAAGTTTAAAAAAAGAAAATTAAAAAAATCGAAATTTTGGATTTAAGACACTGGAAATAAGCTCTTCAATTAATGAAAAAAGTAAAAGTGCGAATTTTGACATAAAACTTTGTTATGTGGGGTTATAATAATATTTGGAACATCTTTTCCAAATAACTTTTTCCGATATCTCTAACTCGAAGCAAAATATTGAAGATTCACTCTGTTTGTGCATTAACAGTAGGCCGTGTTTAAAAATTAAATTTCAGTTGATTATCTTAAAAAATGTGAATTGACAACCTGTATGACTGTGCAAAATTTCAAATTGGTATTTATTCTAATAGCCGAAATATAGGGGTATCTTCATCTTAAATGCGACACACTGTATAGAGTCAGAACAAAAAAAAAAACAAAAAACAAAAAAAAATATAAAAACAAAAAAAAAAAATAATAAAAACAAAATGAAAAAAAAACTAACTTTATATTCTTACTAACATACCTAACCCTTTCCTTTCCTGGCAAGGAAGGCTCATACCTCCTCGTGGTCCTTGCTGGACAGACAATATTTTGAGATTTTCTGTCCTTGCTGGATAGACAATCTTTTAAAATTTTCTGACAGAATGAACCATTATTTACAGATAATTGTAAAAAAATATTATGGTTTATGTAAAAACTAAATAATAAGTCCAATATTCTTATAAATCACTAAAATTAACAAGCTTTAATTTGAAAGAATTAATTTGTTATTTATTAGATGTTGTGAGCCCGCTCACATTTGAAAAAAAAAACTGATTCTGTCCTTTGAAGATTCCTATTCAAAAATACCGCGTTTAAACAAATCGAAGGTTGAAGGGTGCCGGACATTTTTGCAGGAAACAATTCAAATTCAAAAGATCTCCTTTTTCTGCTACGGAAAATATTACCCCAATTTCTCACCAAAATCAATGTCGAGACTTTAGTTTAAATACTCTTGAATCTCAAAAATACTCATTTACATATTTTTCAAGCCTCGAAAATGCATATTAGGTATCGCATTTTTCGGATTTTAAATCGCCTATATCTCCAAAACTATTAACTTTTGAGAAAAATGACATAGATCTTATTTAGAGTCATCCAAAAACCTAAAAAATATTTTTTGGAGCACAAAAGGTGATATTTTGAATTTGTTTAAAAAATTGTTCTGTAAAAAAAATTTTCCTGAATATAATTATGTAAAAATTAATAAAAATTATGATTTTTCTTGAAATATGCGTTTGATGAACTGATCCCTTTTCTTAATTTCCACGCCAATGGTCGGCATTTGCATCAAAGAAGCTCAAAAGCCGCCACTTGGAAAATTGACTTTGGAAAAAGTATAATAGTTTTGTTTTATTTATAGCTGAAATATTAAGAAAGAATGGTTTTAAAAGACAACTTACCTTTTGGTGCTGTGGTAAGTTGTGAATCAGCAAATAATTCTTTTCTCTGAATAGGTAGTATTACAGTTTCCCTCAATTCCTGGATAAGCCCTTCCAGGCCAGCAATACTACTCCAAGTTACTTTAATATCTTGAGGATGGACCAAGTGAGCTGCTATCATCATTTCATAATCATTTAGTTTGTCAATAATTATAGGCGCATGTCCTGTAGCAGATAATCTGTGAACAATATTAAAAATAAGTAGATGGGTTTAAAACTATATGCTAAGTTTGAAAATTCTGTATCTGGAGCTGCCTGTAACATTAGTGGCCTTGGACTTATTGACTCCAAATTCAATAGTGTTCTTCAGGAACATACTCAGGTGGCAAGCTTCAAGATCTAAGAGTTTTCCTTCAAGAATTATTGGTACCAGTATAATAAGAGGATAGAGCCTCTATGATCCAGAAAATGACATTGCAATGCATTGTGTCTTACACAATTAATTACATCTGAAAAGATGACTCTTGAAATAGGATGTAATATAGGATGTACTAAAAACTGTTTGGGAGTCCAGAAATTACAAAAAGAAATGGGCATTTTCACCTATTGTCATATGAAAGTATGCTTTGAAAATTATAGGGTCAGATGAATCACTAGAAACAGTAAAGGGAATTAAAAATATTACAACAAAAAATGCATATTTTGCCGAGAACTCAATTAACAATTTGCGGTTTTAAGGGTAACAATTTGTGATTTTATGGTGTTATCAATTTTTGTTAATCTACTACAAATAGGGACTTCCCATGTATTACCAACGCCAACAATAAATTTGTAATTTCTAAATTTATTACCTTTTTAACTGCTCTTCTGCTTGTCGTCTTGCCTTTTTCTTGCTTTTATTCGTGGGGTCAACTTGGTTCATAATCCATTTTATACTTAAAAATGTAACTGCAGAAACAAGGGTTAACCTCACCACCAATCCTATTACTTCGTTCTTTGTAAAGGCAGTGTCTGCCATTTTTGTGAATTAATTGAACGGTTTCGTTTTTAATGTTCTTCTATGATGTAACGTTAAAAGGGAATAATCATCTTAATTTTGAAAATCTAAAACTATTATTTTGTTCTACTAACTTGACATTCAATGACAAGGAAGAAAGAAATATTAATGCAATGCCATGTGCCATGATTAATGCGTTCTATTTATGACTGTCTTTGTCTATCTTTATATTCTCTATATCATGAGTCAGTCAAATTTTGTTAACAAATGCTCGGTCTGAAGATAGGCAACCGAACCGTATCAATTGTGAAATTTGGAGATGGAGATGATACTCGATATGAACTATTGGAGATTAGAATCCATAGGCGGAGACATTTACATGACTAAAAAGTATAACCACAATTGGCTTTTAATTTTGGGGATTCTAGAAATAACGAGAGATAACAGATAACTATGAATAACCACAGAATAATAAACAATTGATTATTATTCTGTGGAATAACAGTCCTGTAAAAGATATGTCAACGAAATGTTTCCTTGTCCACACTACATAAAAATACTTGCCCCCTTGTCCGATGTCCATCACAGCCAGTCATATGTCACAGATACAGATTACTAAACGGAACGGAACATTTCGGAACATATTGTATACGTCCTAAGGAACTGTCAGATTGGTTATTTTTTGTTATTAAAATAAAATGATTTTTCGTAACTTTTATCAACAAAAATAACGTAGATCGATATAAATTTATATTTTATATTACAGTATATTTAAAATGAGTTGCCTTGTAAGTATTTAAAATATGTATAGATCACCTAACCTCAATCTTAAATTATATTTTCTTTTACAGAATATTCAACATTTTGTAAAATTATTTTTACTATTAGCATGTATAACGCTAAGTCATCAATTTTATGTTCCTGGAATGGCACCTACTGATTTTAAAAAGGGTAAATATTTTACTGTATGAAATTGTAGTCATGTTTAGGGTGGGACAATCTTTGTCCCCTATATTTTTAACTTAGAAAATGATTAAAATCAACTTCATAATTGTTTACTAAATTGGGTTTATTTTAATAATTGATGTTGATATTTTGTGCAATTATATAATGTATTGTTTTTAGGTGATCAAATAGAAGTAAGAGCTGTAAAAATGACTAGTATACATACCCAATTACCTTATGAATATTATTCTCTTCCCTTCTGTTTACCCAAAGGAGGTTCTGAGAATATTCAGTACAAATCTGAGAATTTGGGTGAAGTTTTAAGAGGAGACAGAATTGTAAATACTCCCTACATTGTAAAGATGGCAGAATATACCCCATGTACTTTATTGTGCAATTCTCCTGGTAATCCAATCAACTGGAGTGTTAGAGAATCTCAAGTTGTAGTAGATAGAATTCAACATGAATACTTTGTTCATTTGTAAGTATTAAGGTCACTGGTATCAGTCAGTAATGATTGAATCATCGAGCAAAAAGACAAAAGAAGGAATCTAATCCTTATGAAAACGAGACCAAAAAAGTGGCCTCTGATGGCAGACATATCCGGAAATGCGAATGCGCCAAATTTAAATTTTCCAACACTTATTAACAGTAGCTATATAATAATATTTTCAGAATGTGTCCTTAGACAGAAAGTTTTAATTAGTATTAACGATAATAGTCTAAAATGCGACACAATTGTTAAAAAACTTCAATATAAATAAGATTTCATGTGACATTTGGGACAAACAATAACATAGCCCAACTAAATTTGATGTCAAACAAGGAGAGAGACTCTCCTCTTTCCTTGTTTAATGTGGCCTCTAAAGATCGCACTTCCTGTCTAACAATATTTTTGCCCCCACTACCTTTACGTTCCCTCTTTTGTCTTTTTGCTCGATGGATTGAATACATTCCATATAACATTACAAAAACAGGATTTTCATAAAAATTCATGGTATTTGTTTACATTAGTAAGAGTCACCAAAAAGCGTTTTTTTTACTTAGCCTAAAAAATCGAAAAAAGGCAAAATTTTCTTGTTTTTTACAGAAATATAGAAAAAATGTAATATGTTTATAAAAATGTTCAAAATATGAAATAGTCTTAGTTATATAAAATACATATCCAATTATAATTACTAATTACCAATTAATACCAATTATTTTTTCCCTGTTAAATTATACAAAAATATAAAATATTGTAAAATAACCAAAATTCATTAATTATGAAAAATAAGTCAAGTTTGTGTTTGCACACAATGTAAAATATTCTGTACAGGTTCAATGTTGCCATATATCACACCCTCAGTGCAAGACTGTAGTAAGTCAGAATAAGTAAGTTTCAAGATAAAGACAATTTTGCTTATTTTCGTGCTAATATCAGTAAAATAAGACACAAGTTTTAAGAAAAATTAACATTTAATTATGATTTTGCATGCTTTTCAGCCTATATTACATTAACCAAAAATAGAAATTGAAATAAAATAATATTAATGCTAAAAAAATTAGGAATTTCAAAGTTACAACACTTTTTTCAGTTACAGAAAATTGTTAATCACTACACATTTAGTATTAGAATTTTAAAGTTACAACACTTTTGCATGTAGAAAATTGTAAAAAGTGTAGACACATTTTCTGTTAGTTGTTGTCCTCTTCTCATATATCATCTTAAGCCAAAATATTTTTATAAAAACAATGGTGGACTTCTGGTATCATATCCAAATGGTATAAGTATGCCAAATCTTTCTTTTTGGCTGTTTTTTGTAGACAGGTTTAAGTAGCATTTCTGGTATATTATGTGTAGTCTGTGATGATTTTTTTAGATTAAAAGAATTACATAGTTTGTTATCAAAGTTATACTTAAAGAAAATTGTGTGCGGACTATCTTTTCTACATTGTAGAATTTTTATATCTGTCCTGTTGTCCACTTCACATTTTCTTTATTTTGATCAATTTTATAGTTGCTTCTCGACAGAAAGGAAACATGTTTAAAATCAATGAAGTCCTTTGTTTCCATTTCCCAGACTATGTAGGATGAACTACTTTTTTGCTACATATCACTGCAGTTGCCCATTCAGAAGGAACATAAATTGGACCGCTCTTCAGCACTCTTTTCTTTTGCCGCTCTATTAATGAGAGCATGTTGTCACCAGCGTTTTGTGTGTGGCCTGTTATTAAAAACTTGTAGCTTGGAGTTTAGTATGGTATTAAACTTTACATTTAATAGATTCCAAGAAATCAGATAGGTACCCAGAATAAATAGGCACCTAATAAAATAGCTTATTGCTAGTGGTAATTTAATCTTTCTATCTCTGCACATGTTTCTGATAGCCACAATTCCTTCGCTTTGTAATAACAATGTCATAACAAGGTAGAAAAATTATTTGTAAAACTTTCAATATTTTTATTTAAATTCAAAACAAAACAACTATAATTAAAATATACAAATCAGGCTACCTTGAGTACAGTGATTAACAAAAGGATTGAAATTCACTACCTTAGAAAAATTTGGGAATTACAGGGAGACAATATGATAAGACAATCGCCCTGGAAGATTACATGAAGATTTAATACAATTTGGGATTTAGTTTTTATAGAAGAAGTTTTCTGAGAATAGATATTTTCAACCTGTCAGTATTGTTAATACACAAGTTTTAAGATATCTGTTTTTCCTTTCATAAGAAAAAATATTTTTTGGCTGTAAATAATTAGTCTTAATTTATGTGTTTTTAATCCAATCTAATAAATAAATGGTCAAACGACATCGCACACATTTTATGGAAAATATAATGTCACACAAAGGACATAAAATTTACATGAATAGATTGTTCTCATAAATCTTTGTGTATTGTCTCGGCTGTTAATGGATTACGTAGACACGCTGTATATTAATATTACATATCACGACAGATAACACGACAGATATAGATATTAAAATAACAAATATCTTACTTTTTTCATGCCTTTCATTGCTTGTTATTGAAACCATTTCAATGTTCCGTGCAAAACTGTTGTAACTCTCTTACATTAGAATTACAACAGTTTTGCATGGAACTTATGTACAAAAACACAAAATAGTTAAACTGTTGTTGTTGTAATATTTAGCCGGTTAAGCATTTGAAAGTTACTAAAGTTTTACAGGGGATAGATATGCATGTTTACAACCGAATTCCATTATTACTTCATTTTCATAAAATTTTTAGTTACTGCAGTCTTGCACTAAGGGTGCGATATATAAGTACATTAGTTTTTTCAGGAGTAAATATACTGAATTTAAATTTTGTCATAACAAAATAAAACCTAACGTAATATAATCCAATCACATCTTAAAATTTCAATTAAAAATGGGATGTGACACTGCGGAGGTGACTGAGGAAGAGAAGCATAGCTTTTTTATCCGTCTATGCATGAAGCAATGGTTTTTAATTCAATTCCTTTCGATTCCATATTTCGATATTTGTACCATTCTTTTCAAATTTTACATAAATATGTAACTAGTGGTTAGTTACAGACTGAAGTTTGTACTTTAACTGTAACATTATAATCGTTTAATGCAATTTTAGGTTAGTAGACAATCTACCAGCAGCAATTGATGTTTTCAATCCAGACACCAATGAACTTCAAGTAGAACATGGTTACCGACTTGGCAACACTGTTGGAGATAGGAGTTTCATCAATAACCACCTTAAACTTAGGTTTTTGTACCATAATCCACAGCCGTAAGTAAAAAAAATATATTAAAAACTTTTTGCTTGTTTTATCTGCAGAATATTACATAGACAGTATCATTATTCTTTATCATCTACCAGTAAAATGGAAATTTTCTTAGTTCAATAAGATAATTGTCACCATATTATTTTTGTTCGGCACATTTGATTTTTCATTGTACGTTGTAGATATTGTATTTTTATTTATTTTTTTGTTCAAGTCATCCTTTTCAACCAAGTAAAAGAGAATAGAGTTTGCAAAAAGTGTAAAAACTCGGTTTGCATGGAAATCATGGGTGCAATGAGATCATGTAAAACTTTTAATGTATGCCTAAAAAATGTGACACTGTGATGTGGGTATTAGTTAAAATAGTTAGGTAATGACTGTGAATATTGATTTTCACGATTTTATTAAAAAGAAAACCATGTGTTACAATTTAACCTAGATCTTACAACAACAAACATATGTATCTGTCTCTTGTCACCGTTCACTCTCGTTGGACACTTTCAGGGTAACTTCGGTGGTATTCAGCCACGGAGCGGCGTGGCTGTTACATCCTCCCCCTTTCCACTACCCTGGCGACTCGCGGGTGGGGCAACAGAGTCTAAGCAGGAATAGAGCTCTACAGGACAGCAATGACAACGTTTTGATCGGGATTGTCTACGTCTGGCAATAGGGTCAGGTTCAGCTTCAACTTGAGCAAGGTCATCTCCAACAGGGGGCCCATTTCGCTATCGTCTAACCCAAGGGCCAAAGACTCTGGGCAGGAGACCAGTGGAGCAGTAGGGTCGGCTTCTGAGGATTTCACTGGACGACCTCTTCTACGGAGAGGTTGAACTGGAGCAGGGCACGGATCTTCTGGATCGGCATGGAAAGGCGTCAAGGCTGAGACATGATATTTTCCAGCAGGAACATCCGGGGTGTCGATGTGTGAAACTTCATAGGTTGTAGTGGACAGCATTTTGGTCACCTTGTAGGGTCCGTCACGACGCGGCGCGAACTTCGAAGTTATGGACGCGTCACTTAGTGTATGCGAATCGACTAGCACAATATCACCTACTTCGAACGAAACCGAGCGGCGGTGGCAGTCTTTATACTTCTTACGTCTATCTTGAGATTGTTCATGTGTCTCGCGGGCTTCACTAAGAGCTTTACTCAAAGTTATTAGATAGGGCGTGATTTGTGGCACGAAGTTGTCCTTGGCTATGGTGCTTCGAAAATCACGATTTGCGTCATCAGGAGTTCGTAACTCGCGACCGAACGTGAGGTACGCAGGAGTGAAACCGGTTGAGTCGCACTTCACAGTGTTCATCGCGAACCGTATAGCGGGTAACTTTTCAGACCAAGACGAATGGTCATTATTTGTTAGAATAGCTAACTGAGTTTTAATGTCTCTATTTTTTCGTTCGACGGGGTTAGCTTCCGGGTGGTATACAGGTATAAGGTTCTGTTGGTACCCGAAACAATGCGCCACTTGCTGCATTACCGCACTCACGAACTGAGTACTGTTGTCACTGACGACTCGACGAGGGATTCCGTATCGTAAGATTATGTTGTCTATGAAACACTTGGCGCAGGCAGCGGCAGTAGCAGATTCTAACGGGAATAATTCTACCCAACGACTAGCAATGTCTTCGACTACCAGAATCCATGTATAACCTTGAGGAGAGAGGGGCAAAGGCCCAAATAAATCAATAGATAGTACTTCAAACCTCTGGGACTGAACAGGGGTTTGTAGGAGACCAGCGGGTTTGAGGTTAGAGACTTTATAGCGTTGGCACTCAAGACATTTACTTACATGGTCAGAGATAATTTTCTTCATTCCAGGCCAATAGTAGCGTTTTATTATTCTTTGATATGTCTTCTCCACTCCATAATGACCAGCAGTAGCTGAATCATGGTACTCATGCAGTATGTGAGGAATATGTGTACTAGCAGCTACCAATTGGGGCTCTTCTTCATCTACTTCAGGAGTATAACGGTATAATATCCCATTGTTCATGATATATCCTCTTTCTGCCCACCTCTTGAAATCTACGCTTGCGTCAGAAGAGGGATCTTCTAAACATCTAATAATCTTGGCAACATCTGGATCATTAAGCTGCTCTTCTCGAACATCAGCAACACTAAGAGTTGGAAAATCTACTCTTACTAGATGAACTTCAGCTATGATGGGAACTTCTGTCATGGGAGGCCTTGATAGAGTATCTGCGATTACATTTTTCTTCCTGTGATATATTCTGTGTTTAGGTCATATGGCATGAGCTCTAAAGCCCATCGAGCTAACCGTCCAGTAGGGGACTTTAAGGTCATTAGCCATTTTAAGGCTTGGTGATCACTTTGCACTATTGTAGTAGCGCCTTCTAAGTATTCTCGAAATTTCTTCACTGCCCAAACCACAGCGAGAGCTTCTCGTTCTGTAGTGCTATAGTTTTGTTCAGCAGGAGTCAGGAGTCTCGAAGCATACTCTACAGGTCGTCCGTTCTCTTTCTCCCCCTGGAGAAGACATGCCCCAAAGCATAATTGCTAGCATCTGTACGAAGTATATAAGGTAAATTGCAGTCAGCTTGTCGTAGGATTGTGGCGGAACACAATAATTGTTTCAGACGTTCAAAGGCCTCTTGTTGTTCTGCTCCTCAGGTCCATTTCACATTTTCCTTGGTTAAATTCGACAAAGGTTTAGCAACATGGGAGAAATTTTCGATGAATCTACGGAACCATGAGCATGTTTGCAGGAATTTTAGCAGTTGAGTAACATTTAGGGGTGGTGTCTTAATGAACTTAATGAACTTAATAAACTTAATGAACAAAATAACGGAACCAAGTAGAAAATATGGACTGGATATAAACACCAGCAAAACCAAGCTAATGATCATCAGTAAGGAAAACATAACTGGAGCAAATCTGTATGTGAACCAAATGAGAATTGAACGAGTCTTACAATACAACTACTTGGGAACTATAATCAATATGGGAGTAATGTAAGTCGTGGGACAATACTCAAGAGATTAAATGCCGCATCGGAAAGGTAAATAGTGCATTCTTGACTATGAGTTCTGTGTTCAAGAGCCATGACCTCACCCTAGAAACAAAAATAAGGCTCCTTAAATGTTATGTGTACTCGGTGCTTCTGTACGGAGTAGAAACATGGACATTGAAGGCGGAAACTCTATCAAAACTTCAGGCTTTTGAGCTATGGTCATACAGAAGGATCTTGAAGATATCATGGACAGACAAAGTCACCAATGAAGAAGTACTGCGGAGGATGAACACAACTGCGGATTTGGTCAACATCGTGACGGGCCGTAAGCTGCAGTACTTGGACCATATAATAAGATATCAAGGCAGATACGAGCTACTTCAATGCATTTTACAAGGTAAAATTGAAGGAAAAGGGTCCCAGGACGAAGAAGAATATCCTGGCTTGCTAACCTAAGAGCATGGTATAGAAAGACATCAACACAGCTATTTCGTATAGCAACCAACAAAGTCATCATAGCCAGAATGATCGCCAACGTTCGTAACGGACAGGCACCCTAAGAAGAAGAAAAATCGATTGCCGGAAACATTATAGGTTCTTGTTATAGAGGTTTATACTAGTCAAAACAACTGTCTTTTGTCTGGCGGGGTCAGTGTCACGACAAAAATCTTATGTCCCTGCATTATTAGTCAGTCTTATCCTTCAAAAAATATCTTTCAGGTCGCTTTGAAATCTATAATCTACTTATAATTTTAGTTAGTGTGTATGTATTGAGTAAATGTCTTTTTACTAAGCAGAGGCGACTTCGCTGATTTTTAAGAGCCGTTAAAATTATTTTTAGTCGGATTGCGGCTTCTCGACCGAGTACTGAAACATGAGCATTTCTTTTTTTTTTCTCCGAGCCCTTCGCTAAACTTTTCCGAGCTTTCAGTCGATAAATTACCGCCATAAAATTTGTATTTCTTTTTATTTTTAGCGATGTGTACAGAATAGTAGGTTTTCAAATATCCGCTAAATCCATACATATGGATGAGTTGAAGTTTAATGGAAATACTTGCGACTTTCCCAGCAAACATAAGTCTCAAGTGGTCGATCCAGCGTCCGGTACGAAATTGTATTTTACATACGAGGTGGAATGGAAAGAATCGTCAGTGAGTTGGGCTTCAAGATGGGATACCTACTTGGCCATGACAGATGCACAAATACACTGGTTTTCAATTATAAATTCGATCGTCGTCATTTTCTTCTTGTCTGGTAAGTTTTGGTTTTAAACTAATATCGAAATTGGTTATTGTGGTCAACTGATAAAAATTTAATTTGTAATGAAAACAACTGTTATCTAAATTTTTACTTTTAATGATAAACTTGTGGTAGCGGTTTCAACTATTATTTATTTAACACTGTATAAACTTCGTAAAGAGATTATTATTTGTATGTTGCCATTAAGAATGGTCTTTTTATTTCAGAAAGTGTCTAGTCTAGGGGCCAGCCAGGTCACCGTGGCCTTTTCAATTTTGATGGGTCCACCCAAGTTTTTGTTATGTATTCTTGGCTACTAATTACGAATTTCGGGGAATGATTTCTATTGGAGTGGTCAAACAATTGTTATAAACAATTTAATTGTTTATAAGGTTCTAGCTCGTAAACTAAGAGACAGAAACTTTTTTCAAATAAAATTTGATCCTTGAAAGGAAAAAAAAATGAAAATTATGTTTACTAAACTTTTATCCAATATTTAATAACTCAAGATATTGTGGCGGGATTAAATAAAACCAGCGGTTCGAATTTATATAAATATATTTATTTATAAGTTTACAGTTCGGTAATATCTTAACAACTAAAACTTACTCCTAACATCGTTACATATATATACCAAAAAGTATTATTCTCAAATCTTCTGGGGTAGTCCCACCTCTAATTCGTCGTTTGACAAATGGATTTCTACAGCGGTCGATACATCGCGAAGGTTCTCGGCTCCTTTTCGAGATGCAACCGTTACATAGGCCATGCCGAAAACAGGTTCGTAACACTGCTCTCCTCTTAGATCTGAGCGTCCCGATCAGCAACTCTATATGTAGGCCCAGGATGGCGGAATCTACAGGCCTCTCCAGCTCTGCATGACCGCTTGAAGAAGAAATAACAGTCTACTAACTTTGAAGGACTTGATCTCTTTGGGTTAATGCATCACACAGTAATTCTTACGCCGGTTTCTCGGAAGATCACTTCAAGCATGCTTCTGACAATCTTCCAATCCAGATTATCTAGTGCATGGCCTATCTTCTTCTTCTTCTTAAGGTGCCGTGCATTTCTGCGTAGACGTCCACCGTACATCGTCTTGTCAGGTGAGATGTTAAATATTCTGGTTTAAATAATTCTGTTTTTAGCAGCATTGCGAAGCATTTCATAGCTGTGGATTCCTGCCCATTGTCGAATATTGCGCAGCCATGACATTTTTTTACGTCCGAGACCTCTCCGTTACATAGGCCATGCCGAAAACAGGTTCGTAACACTGCTCTCCTCTTAGATTCTGAGCGTCCGATCAGCAACTCTATATGTAGGCCCAGGATGGCGGAATCTACAGGCCTCTCCAGCTCTGCATGACCGCTTGAAGAAGAAATAACAGTCTACTAACTTTGAAGGACTTGATCTCTTTGGGTTAATGCATCACACAGTAATTCTTACTCACACAGTATCCTATCTTGGGTTAGGCCAAATGCTTAATGTCTATTCTAACTCCAAAGGGTTCTATACAGAAGATCATCTTTCAACACTAGGCAATTCCATTGGCTCCAAGTAACACTTGACTTCTGGACTGCATGCATTAATGTCTTATCAAGAAGGTCTTTCACTTAGACGCATCCAATCCAATACTATTTTTATACATGGATCATCTGCTTGAGCGTCTTGTAGCTGTTGAGGCTGCCATTGTTCATTAATAACGGTGGTTCGTCTCACGGGGCAAGGTCGTTCTTCTAATTCAAGACAATGATTACGATTTGCACTGTGTGGTCGTCTTAACTGAGCATCAGCATTTCAATCACTTTTTCCAGCCCAGTGTTCCATCTGTTCTAGCTTTCTGACTGTTGTATTATTTTCTTGCAATTCACGACGAATGTGACCTACGTCTTTGCCATTCCAACATCTGTGTTCACGTCTCTTCGACATAATGTTACGAAATACTTTCCCTACGATTTCCTCCAGACGTTTATCGTTTTGTACGTCGCTCTCTTCAGAGGTTCGTACTCGATAGCTCCGTGAAGCTCGACTAGCTGTCTCGTGTTCCAAGGCAATGGTGAGCGCTTCATCGAAAACTTTCGGTATTATTTATAGCGTGTTCTCCCTCGAATTTCATAATTTCTGGGAGGTCAGTACAGTTTTGGTAGAATTCGGCAATATTACCTTCAAACAACTCTGATATATACAGATGCCATTCTTTTCTTATTTCGTGCTCATTTACAATACTATTGTTATTATTGTCAACGAGTACAGAGGAAACTCGTTTTTTTTTTTTTTTAAATATGTTACTCATTTCTTTTAGTTTTTTTGTGCACATTAAATAAGTCGTGCTTAGATATTACATCCTCCATTTCGCGCAGAAAATATTTCCACTATAAAAATGTACAGGTTTGGGCCGCTAAGCAAACGGGATATTTCACAAAAGGCACTTATATAAAATGATGAATCATAACAGCAAATAACGGAAATCTGGCGAATTGTTGAGGGTGTCATGTAATGGCGGCCAATTATACATTCTGGCTTCAAAACACATGATACCATAAATCCATAACTATTAAGGTAACAACGGCCAACAAACACAGTTCTGGCAGCAATTAGTGTTCCCGGTAAAGGTCTAAAATTAATATTTATTTGAAATATAAAAGAAAAAAGGAATTTTTCGATTTTTTTGAGGCCGAAATCGGTACTTACTATGAACTGCAGTTGGATCCTTAAGAAGGTTATTTAGATGTTTCCGTACTTGACGAATAGGTGGCTGGATTAACATTAATTTAAATATTTATTAAGAATTATAATTTGCATGAATTATAAATGCCTAACTTTTGAAACGGTTACAAGAAATATCCATTTCTCCACAGAAACGTGTTTCCTCCACAGAAACTCAAACCACGTGTTTTCTTCTATCAGGCTCATAGCGACTAATGCCAGTTCTTACAATACTTAGCGGGCATTTTCGAGGGAATCTTAAATAACATTGTTTCGCTGATAGCAACGTTCTCATTTTGGGAACAATGAATTCTGAAAGTAATATCCTTAGAAATAAGTTACCTAAAGATGTTCCTCGTAAGCATTTCTTTCATGTGATTCATTTATTGTATGTACTGTACGCTACATATCGACTCACAGTAACAAACTATAACACAAAGAAGGAACTGTCATGAATTTGAACGTTATTATTTTACGCGATTTTTATTTTTAGATACTCCAGTCCTCAGTTTCCGGTGTTATTTAATATATACTCTGAATATATCTTCGAGCAAGCGCTGGGAGAACTACAAGAAGGCGTATTAGTCAACGGAATGCGTCTAAACAACATTAGATATGCCGACGACGCAGTAGTTTTTGCAGATAGTCTCGACAGTTTGCAAAGAATAATGTCGCGTATATCAGATATAAGTAGAGAACACGGACTTGATTTTAATACGAAGAAAACAAAGTACGTGGTAGTCAGTAAGGGCGAAATATTAAATACACAGCTTTTGCTTAACCAACATCCAATTGACAGAGTGGACAGCTACACATACCTTGGTACCAACATTAACAGCCAATAGGATCACTCCAGTGAAATAAAACAATGCATAGGAAAAACGAGATCAGCGTTCATAATGATGAAGTCTCTTTTCAGAAGTCATGATTTACCATTTTCTACCAAAATCTCTCTCATTAGATGCTACGTATTTTCTGCGTTATTATACGGAGTAGAGGCCTGGAGACTTTCCGAAGCTTCTTTAAGAAAACTCGAGGCATTCGAGATGTGGTGTTACAGGCGTATTTTAAGAATTTCATGGGTGGATCGTGTGACTAATGTTGAGGTCCTACGTAGAATAGGCAAGGAATGCGAGATTATTAACACCATCAAAGAGAGCAAACTAGAATATCTTGGCCATGTTATGAGGAATGAACAGAGATACGGTTTGTTGCAACTCATTCTTCAGCGCAAGGTATTTGGAAAGAGAAGACCAGGGAGAAGAAGAATATTCTATTCTTTTCAGAATAGCAGCAAGCAAAGTTAGGATACCCACGTTGATCGCCAACATCCGGAACGGATAGGCACCGTAAGAAGAAGAAATCCTCAGAGACGAAAATGCCACTGAACCTCTAAAGATCATACGAACAAGCCTTTTATGACGCCAACAAAGATGCAAAAAAGTATACCACTGGAATTTCACCTAATAAAATATTCACCTAATAAAATTTGTATCAGCTCGACGGGTAACAATTCGATATCTTTTGATCAGAGTGTCCTATCGACAAAAGTCAAGCTGTGTTTTAAAGGTAAAGAATGCAGCTTTCGTATACAATTTTTGTGTTTTGCCGCAAAAATACAGAAAGTACTTTGCCGCAAGTAAGAAAGGAACATACAGAAGGCATATTTATTACGTTTTTTATTGTCTTCCCAAAATTGGAACGTTGACGTTTAAAATGTTGATGGACTAAACTGGAAATTGTTGATACTAGGGGACAAAGCCACAGTACCTGGCAAAAGAATTCCAGGCATTTAATGAATAATATTTCTCGCATCACAGATCATCGCAATTTCAGTCGCAAAAATTCCTCCACAGGCTAAGACACTCAACGCTGAATCCTTTGATCGGCACTTTATTTACTTCGCTTCTCATGTCGGTCTGAAACTTCATTAAAAGGCTATTTGGGCTGAATAAAATCAACTTTAACATTTTAGTTTATTCTATGAGGCACTTGAAAGTCTTTCTTTCGGAGATTTTTAAAACGCAGACTTATAGAAACTATATAGATTTTTAAAATATACAGTGTAAAAGAAAATGCTACAAGTTTATCTATACCAATTTAATTAAAAATCCTTTGTAATAGGTATATATTTAAGGCCCAAACGGACTAAGTAAAAATGGAGTCATATGTCGCCATGTTACCTAATCCATTGGTAACTCTATAATCTTAAATTATTATAACGTATTTTTAAAACTAAATGTAATTAAACATCTGTTAACGGGTTTTTACCCATATATTTAATCTTGGTGGCTACATTCATGTACTCCTAGACACTGATGATGGAACATGGTTTCCGAAAACGTTATGTCTTTTTAACTTAGCCCGTTTGGGCCTTAAATATATACCTATTACAAAGGATTTTTAATTAAATTTTTAATACATGGTATACAGCCAACTACAGGAACGTAGATTCCTTGTGAACTATACCAATTTGTTGTAGGCATCCTCACCATGATCATGGTTCGAACACTTCGACGAGATATTGCGAAATATAATGCAGACGAAAGTTACGACGAAACAATCGAAGAAACTGGTTGGAAGTTAGTACACGGAGATGTTTTCAGACCTCCACGTAACTCGAGATTGTTTGCTGCTCTTGTTGGATCTGGAATTCAAATATTTTTGATGTCTCTTATAACGATATGTAAGTCTTTTTTGTTTTTAACTTTTTTAGTATTTCTTCCAGAAACAAATATAAAATGTATTAATGCTGATAATTGTAGTAATAATTCACTAATTTCACATGAGCATTTTAATACATACACATTTTAATATTGTTTCAGTTTTTGCTATGTTAGGAATGCTATCACCAGCGTCTCGAGGTGCTTTAACCACAGCAGCTATTACCTTCTATATGATCCATGGAGCTGTAGCAGGCTATCTATCAGCTCGTCTCTATAAAACCATGAAGGGCAGAGAGTGGAAAAGGGCCGCCTTTCTTACAGCTGTGCTATATCCCGCTGTAGTCGGTGGGACTTGTTTCTTTTTAAATTTCTTTATTTGGGGAAAAGTAAGTAATGAATTCCTATTTAAAATATGCAAAGATTAATGAAATTTGTTATTTACATCAATAATGAAGGCCAGCAGCGGTGCAGTCCCGTTTTCCGCTATGATCAATCTTTTGTTGATGTGGGTATTCGTATCGCTACCTTTGGTATACTTAGGGTATTACTTCGGATATAGAAAACAGCCGTACCAACATCCGGTCAGAACAAATCAGATACCAAGACAAGTTCCTGAACAACACTGGTATATGAATCCCTTATTGTGGTAAGTTAAGGTTATGGTAAGATACCTTTTAGTTGTTTTTTAAATAAACTAATTTATACCGACTACCGAATAATAACCGACTACCAATCGTGTAGTCGGTTCATTGATACCATAATTAGTGTGGTGAAATGGCACTGAAAAGATTTCTGATTGTCTGTTGTTTCTACTAGACTAGATACTTTAAGACTAACAAGTGATAATAGTTGAGGACAATCTATAATAGGATTAATGACTTTGTGCAGGAAACATAAATCTAACAATGTCCTCCTTGACTCAAGTGTTGGTAAATCAAGGCTGTCTATTACTCACTGATAGTCAAATCCCTCTCTCCGGTATCCACTACTAAAAGCTGCTAGCTTCAAAAATTTATTTTAGGTTCTTTCAATATGTTCAATGTACCAGTTATATGATGGAGACCATACAACTGATCCATACTCTAGAATGAGCCTAACGAGACTACAATAAAGTCTTCTAAATGTGAACAATGACAGATCTACAGATATGCGTTGGATAAATTCCAGTGCTTTCATTACCCTGTTTGTTACTTGATTGATGTGGCTTGAGAATGACAGTTTGGTGTCTAACCAGATTCCCAAGTCTGATACATTTTTAAAGGCTAATGGCAAGTTAGAGTAAATAAATGTAATTGGTTTTCTTTGCCTCGAAAATGTCATTGAATCACATTTGTTTATGTTAAGTGACATTTTGTTTAAACTGCCCCAATCATAAAACGATTTAAGATCTTCCTGTAATAGAACATAGCATCATTCGAGGATTGAATTTTTCCAAACAGTTTTACATCGCCAGCAAACATAAGAACACTACAATTTTTGATTTTTTGTACTAAATCGTCCAGAGACAAACAAAATAAAACAGGACCACAATAGGAGCCTTGCGATATCCCTGATGGTACCGTTATTTTAATTGAGATATCACTCCATAAGTTAACTGTCTGCGTACGGCCTCTAATAACTTTGACTAATAACGACCGAAATCCATTCAAGAAAGAGATTCACAGTATACCGTTTGCAGATTAATAGAAAGTGAGAGATACATCATCTACAATTATACATAAAACAAAAACAAATAGTAAACTAACAGACAAAATAATCAGAATTTTATATCATCCTGAGGGTACAAATACAATCCTCAGAATTTTCAACTAAAAGCATGGTTATTTGCCTAAAATATAGAGGCCAAGGAAGTCACCCGTCAATTTGGCAAATAAAAGCGCCAAAACAACTATAGGGTATAAAAACAACTTTCTAATTTAAAACTATCTTTTTTAAAATCGATTGCGGGAGTGGAAATCGTAACGTCAATGAACAATTATAAAATGTAATGTTCATTACAATTGATTGTGGCTTAAAAAAAACATAATATTTAATATGTAATTGTATTGCAAATTGATTTAAATTGTTTGATTTATTTTTTAGCACACTGATGGCAGGAATATTACCATTTGGAGCAGTATTTATAGAACTCGTTTTTATATTCACGGCCATATGGAAAAATCAGTTCTACTATCTTTTCGGATTCCTCTTCTTAGTTTTCGTCATATTAATAATATCTTGTTCTCAAATATCTATTGTGATGGTGTATTTTCAACTGTGCGGAGAGGTGAGTGTGATTCATTAGTTTATTTTAAATAAAAGTTATAAATATTAAAACGGTTGAGTTTACCGAAATTACAAGCTGATTATAGGCGCAAATGTCAAACATGTGTAATGTTTTTATTAATTCTAATTTATTGTTCTTATTTTAATTTACTAAAGGTTCAATATTTATAACACTTACAAACTTAATTTATTTCAAGTTTATTTATAACAATTTATTATTACGATCGTTATATTTAAATACCCGATCGCGATTTTCTTTTCTGACTGCCTGTTTTCTCCAAAAAGGTCCCGTTAAATACCCAATACCGTTAGACTAGAAAAATCGATCGCCTTCTCGTCTGGTATAGAATATAAACATGTTTTTTTTCCTAGGGTCGGGCCGCCGGCTGCATTCTTGTTACCTGAAGTTTTTATTCGAATCCTTCTGGAGAGTTCGGTAGTATATGACCTACAAAATACGTGAATGAATAGACTATTAGTAATAAATATGTTTACGGTTTTGGGTCAGAATTTATCGTAATACATGGAACAAAAAATTTCGGTATGGCAGTGTTGGCATGTTTTCTAATATAGATGCTGTATGCTTCAAATATAAAAAGATAAATCTTTAGAAAAGTACATTTTGTTTATATTATGTTATGCATTCTGCAATTTTTGATTTACATAAAACAACAATGAGTAAATATTTGTTTCTTTGGAGATTAATTGCAGTTAACTATTGGAAATTTTTTTAGCAATTATACTTTGGTAGATTAGAGGATAGATTTGGCAATCGTCAAATCAGCAGTTACCAGATTACAACAGATGTTTGAAATTAATCTCGAAAGAGACAAATATCTACTCTTATTGCTTCATATAAATTAAAAATGGCAGAATTCATAAAATAGTATAATCAAAATGTGCTTTTCAAAAAGCTTTATCTCTTTATATTTGAAGCATACAACATATGCATTATAAAAACATGCCAACACTGCCAAGCCGAAATATTTTTGACATTTGCGGCTATATTCAGCTTGTACTTTCGGTAAACTTAATCTATTAAAACAGTTCACAAAAACAACTATAGGATTTAGTTGCGAAATATTAACAAATCGTAGCAATTAAATTAACAGTTTCTACGATTCACTTTTTAGCTCAAAAAATAATCTTTTTTTCGGAACTTACAAATTATCCAGTTTTTTTCATTATTAACAATTAAATGCGAAAGATGGCTACAAGATTTCTGTGAGTTATGTCTAGAAATCCTCATATGTGTCCATAACATCTAATTCTTTGTGCTTTTATTACTGTATGTTCTTTTGATCCATCCAATATTGTATTTCGTGATTCATCCATTGTCTTGCATCCTCTTCATTTTTCCTCTTCGGTCCCAGTATTTTTCTTATAATGTACATCTCAAAATTTTTCAGTTGCTCTTCTTCTCTTGCTGTTAATGAAAATGTCTCTGCAGCATATACTTTGCTACAATTGCTGAATTTTTTACTTACAAGTTAGTTTTTAGAAGAGCTTGTGGCGGTTATTGGTTAATGGAAATTCCTGTCTTTGAGAAGTTAAAGCAACATCATAGCTTTTATATGCATAAGAAACTGGAAGAACTAACGAGTAAAAGCAGAAGTTACCGACCAAACATCCTGCGAGATTTTAGCGGTAGAATATTATGTGATATTAAGGAACGTTGTACCGAATTTTCTTGTTGTGCCATAAACTTTGTACCTTGTAGGAGTTTCAGTTTCTGTCTTAATCAAATATTCTAAGGGTTTTCTCCTTAGCTAGTCAGAAAATGGACCCAGCATAATCTAGATCACACCAGTTTCATATGTTTCTAAACCAGGAATGTAATTTTCTTTTCGGCCCTCTTCATCCATCAATCTTACCCGTGAAGTTAAGTAAGTTTTGAAAGTGAGTATCTTGATTCCTGCAAGGCGTGTTCCAAAATTGGTTTGGGGAATTTTTTAACTGGCCGTTAGTACAGGTTTTACTGTATTTCTTAATAAATCGCTTTCAAGTTTTATTTTAATATTGGAAAAAATTATACTTAAGGAATTTACTGCGCAAAACTAAAATATTCATATATTTTTCAGGATTACCACTGGTGGTGGCGCAGCTTCATCGTATCCGGTGGCAGCGCCCTCTACATTTTAGGATACTCACTATTTTACTTTATGACAGTTTTAGAAATAACAGAATTCATACCGACGTTACTTTACATAAGCTACACCGGACTGATGGTTTTCACTTTTTGGTTACTCACCGGATCTATAGGGTTCTTCGCTGCATATGCTTTCGTTAGAAAAATTTACGCGGCCGTCAAGATTGATTAAGTGCATGTTTAGTTTTATTGCGCATTATTTATTTGTGTGCACCGATAGTTTTGGTAATTCAATATTTTTAAGGCTCTGTGATTTTTAGGATTACAACTAAAACCTAATACGAAATATTTTATTCTTGTTATCACAATTCGTGTATGAGTGATGATATGGTAACGTTTTAAGACTTTTGCGTTTATTAAAATTTATTTTAGAAGTTAGTGTTGCTTTTCTTATCGATTATGTTATATTGTAAAAGATGATACGTTAAGAATAAGAGGCACAGAATAATTATGCATTTCTGGCTTCACAGCAATACTCTGGGACATTGTATTATATAAATGGATGGACTTCATCTAATTATAATTTTTCAAACTAAGCAGTTAATAGGACAGAATGTCGAGAAACAGAGTGTAACAGTTTTGTTTGTAAAAATGTACTTAAATGTCTCGTTTAAATATTTTTATACTTTGTGTGAGTAAAAAAATGTAAACCCTTAATTGAAATTCATTTACTGATTCAGTATTCATATCTAATGATTTCAGAAGTTGAAAGTATTCCAAAACTGTAAAATGAAAGGTTTTTTATATCCTCGACTAACATCATATTGTTAGACAGTTGAGGAACATGTTCCATTCAGCGCAAAAAGAGGTAGAAAGACATAAAGGAAAAAGACGGATCAGAGTCAAGATAAAATATGGTAGCTGTAATATTTAAACAAAATAAATGTATTTCATCCTATTTTTTTTTAATTTTAAGTCTTGCTTTCCTAATTTTTTTGTTAACTCCGTTACTGAAGTACTAACTAACTAAAAAAAAAGAGGTTAATCTTTGTAAATGGGTATATTTATTTAAAAAACCCCTAAAAGGGCCACATCAATAAAACAAACGTTTTGGTGGCTCAGGCATTGTGACCTAGCATTTTTCGATTTTAAAAACCTGATGATGGACTGTGTGGTCCGAAAACGTTTGTTTTATTGATGTGGCCCTTTTAAGGGTTTTTTAAATAAATATACCATTTACAAAGATTAACCTCTTTTTGTTATACGTGGTATACAGCCAGCTACAGGAATTTTTCCTTGTGGATTTTACTAACTAACTGACTCGGCGAACTTCGTATTGCCATAGAAGATTCCGCGACAAAAAAAATTGTAGCTCAATTAAAAATTATTTGACGAAAGTTGGTAAGTGGGTTAATACATTAGAATTATGTTTCTTCAAAATGTTAGTGTTAAAATAATAGTGCAGCTATGCATATATATGTATAAAAGTGGGTTGGTTACTTTCTGCATTTTAAGAAATGAACTCTTTAGAAAAGTTTTATTGAAATTATTACATTTAATACAACAATATGAGTTGATCAACAGTTTGTAGTTCTACAAATAGAACTACAAGCTTTACTAGATGCAATAAATAGTGAATGCATTCAAATGGGCCTTGACATCAACACAGATAAGACCGAATTTATGATAGTATCAAGGAGTCCAATAAATAATGAACAACTAACCCTTGGTGGACAGCAAATAGAGAGAGTGACAAAATATAAATATCTGGGAGCTTACATCAATACAGAATTAGATCCAGACCAAGAGATCAGAGTACGAATAGAAATGACAAGGGCAGCGTTCTTAAAATTCAAGCAATTGTTCTGTGATAAAAATCTGAATACTGCGCTGAGACTGAGGTTTGTTGAATGCTACGTCTGGTCCCAACTATTGTACGGGGTAGAAACATGTACTTTTAAAAGCGCAAATAGTTAAGAAGTTTGAAGCCTTTGAACTTTGGATATACCGTAGAATGTTGAGAATTCCATGGGCTGTCAGGGTCACTAATGAGTAAGTGCTGAGAAGGATGGCAAAAAGGGAATAGGTAGAAAGAGGAAGTCACGGCTGCGAAATATTCGAGACTGGATAAACATGACTGTAGATGAATTACTCCACGTTGCAAAAGACAGAGAAACTTTTAGAAATGTGGTCGCCAACCTCCGTTAATGGGGACGGCATAGGAAGAAGAAGAATACAACAATACTAGTATATAAAAAATATAATTGTAACACAAAACTAAAATACAAAAAACATATATTCCCAAAACTGCTAATGTGTCATGGTTTCATCTTCAAGGTCATCAAGTTCAGGACGGCCGCTAAATCCCTCAATATCATCAATCATTTCAGAGTCTCAAGTTAAACGTTTATAATATTCTTGAGCATCACCTGGTATTAGATGCATTATAGATTTTATGTCCTCTAATTTTGGAAGAGAAATAGGGTTCCCGTTAGGCCCCATTCTTGTGAGTAAATGGCTGAAATTATTATTGGTTACTGCTGGCCTTCCATATTTTTTACCGATGTAAACTTCAGAATAATTTTCATCTGCACAGCTTTTTTTCATAAATATATAAAATGGTTTTGATTTATCTAGCATGATCTCCCTTGTTATTAACCAATTAATTTTTTGTTTGCTCATGTCTACTTTTCTATTACAGATGTTGTTCTGCTTCTGTTGTACCAAAAAAATCAGAAGAAGTCATTATAACGACATCAAATTTGTTTCTATTTCTGTAATTTTTCATTACAGTTATAACTATAATTATCTTCAAGCAGGTATAACCTTTGTTGATGTTGGAGCGCAGACTCTACGTCTGAAAAATTGGCTCGTTAGGTAAGAAACGCTGCCCTGATATGAGGAACCGGGTATAAATCTTATTAAGTGATGCATGAGTTTCAAGTGCAGCTTTCATCGTGAGAGTTAATTTTATATTCCTATTTTGGCCCCCACACGAATCATACCATGAATGTAGTTCATCTACGTCGTTCGATACATGATTTTTAATTTAATTACTATTTAAATGGGAATAAGCCACAATTAAAGGTTCAAGTACGTTTATTGACGTTTCAATGTCCACTTCGGAAATCGTTCTCAAAATATAAACATTTTAGTGTTTGTATTTTGAGAACGATTTCCGAAGTGGACATTGAAACGTCAATAAACGTACTTTAACCCCCAATTGTGGCTTATTCTCATTTAAATAGTTATTAATTTAAAATGCCACAACAAAATAGCTTCAGAATGATTTTTAATATATTTTAAAAGACATGATCCTACCTCTTGGGAACCACGACCAGCTTTATTTTCCATCCATAAATTGCACGATCCCTTTTTGCTCTTTCCAGAGTAAATTCCTAAGTTGTACAGCCAAATTTGCCTTTTATAAAATAAAATTTCAGTTGGATGGCGTGAACCAAGTCGAATATTAAACATTCTACTTTTTTATTGTTAGTCGCAGTATCCAAATCGTGTTTCATTTTTGCCCTGGCTTCTTGCCAATTTTTGATATGGGTATCATGTTCATTTACTAACATTACTTTTACCTCATTATCTTGAGTGCTATCTATTTTTGCCTGATAAGAATTACAGGTGTCTTTTTTGAGACTTTTAAATTTTAAAACTGGGGTCATGAAGATACGTCTGTACACGACAAAGCTAACAGGATTATTAGTATCTTCTCTGTATTTATTATACATTAGTTTTAGTGTCATTTCCGGGGGCAAAAATCACCACACTGCAATCTGCGATAATGGCTCATATTTTGGAATCCTGCCAATTTGATTAATTATTTCTTGTTTCCGTTCTTGTGATATTTTATTTTTTTCACCCTGTTTTTGTCCTCTTTTGTCTGTCAATGTAGAGGATCTAAGTTTTTTCATTGTAGTATCAACACGCTTAGTAGAAATTCCGATAGTATTAATAAATAATTAATATAATAATAACCGAATGGAGCCTCATAGGAAGGAGGAAAAGAGGACGACCCCGAAGATCCTGGAGGAACAAAGTAGACGACGCCATGAGTAAGAGAGGCCTAAACGATGGAGAATGGGGCGCTAGCCAGAGAATTCTCTGGCGCTTATTTTCTTCTCTTTTTAAACCAAGATATTTTCGTTTTCGCCCTTTCATTGGTCTACCTGTATTGACTGGAGTAGAGTTTATTATCTGTTCTAGAACTTTTTCTTCTATTTCCGAAGTTACATCACCTTCCTGATAATCTTCTTCATTGTGTCTTGTATTAGTTTGATACTCATCCTCTAATCTGAAATCTGGATCTACATCGGAATCATAGCCACTATACTCATGATCTTGATCATTGTTTGAAGATTCCATCTAATTTAAAAAGAAAAAAAGCAGTTAAATGCTAGTATAAGTAGTCGTTACCAAACTAACCTCATTTTCTGCTTTTGAAACATTTAAAACCAAAAGTATATGTTGTCCTCTGGAGGATCTATAACCCATTGTTTAAGAAATGTTTTACTACCCAATAATTGTTAATAATTAATCATTTGCAATATTTTCACTACTTTATAACACAAACATGCAGTCTTAGCCTTATCCTGTGACAAACAAAAGTATTAGTCATTGAAGCAAGGAACCAAACCGTAAAGTATTTTATGCTATGTAATTCCCAAGTTTTGCAGAATGGAACCAACCCACTTGGATGTTTTCTGCACATTACTTCATTGAGTACTGAAGTAATGTGGGTTGGTTCACTAACTAAAAATAAAATTCATTTACAAAACAATTCCAAATAACAAAACAATAACAAAAAAAGAAAGTTTCATATCCCAGGAAACAAAGATTCTTATGAACACAAGAAGAACATTACTAGGACAAGGGGACAGAAATAAAACGGAATGTAAAGAAATAAACAAAACTATTAGAAAAAATATCAAGGAGTGTATACGGAGAGTACAGGAAGAAAAGATAGAGAAAATAATTGAAAAAAATAGAAACATGAAGTGCTTACAGCATAACCTGGTAAACATACAAATTAATAGCATAAAGAACAAAGGAGTGGAGACCAACAATATAAAAGAAATTTTACAGATAACGCACGAATATTATTCAAATCTCTATAAAACAGAACAAAAACCAACCCAAGAAATCCGTAATCAGTTACAACTGAAAATAAAGAACGTTAACTCTGACCTACAACCAGAAATCAGAAAAAATGAAATAAAAAAGGCACTCAAAGAAATGAAGAATAACAAATCTCCTGGGAAAGATGGAATAACTGTGGAAATGCTAAAAAATGGGTGGAAAACTACAGTGGAAGTCCTTTATGTACTAATGAATAAAATATTGAACACAAAACAAATACCCACCACATGGAACGAGGCAAGACTATTACTATTTAAGAAAGGTGATAGAAAAGATCTGAAAAATTATAGGCCCATAACGCTACTTAATGTAATGTACAAACTGTTAACTAAACTACTAACAAACAGATTAACAAATAAGTTAGTTAATTACCAGTCATAAGAGCAAGCCGGTTTTAGAAAAGGATTCAGTACAAGCGACCATCTGCTTACGATAAAAATGTTAATTGAAAAGGTCAACGAATATCAAATCCCAATGTATATGGCATTTGTAGACTTTGAAAAAGCATTAGATAAGGTGGAGCATTGGGCAGTAAAGAACGCTTTACAAAATGGGAGAATAGACTATACATATACGGACTTAATTTCCTATATATATGATCAAGCAACATCCATTAAAATAGTTTAACAAACGGGGTCTATTAAGATACGACGAGGAGTCAGACAGGGTGACACTATGGCACCCAAACTATTCAATCAAGCTTTGAAAGACGTTATGAGGAAATTACAATGGGAAAAACGGGTTATTAATATAAATGGCCAATAGTTGAATCATTTGAGATATGCAGACGACATTGTATTAATAACAGA